AAAATAATAAGAGTCAAAAACACATAAGTATAAAAAATACAAAGCAGATACAGTAATAAATACAGTTATAGTAGAATAATAGGCCTATACATAGAATAGGCATACACGCAGGATGAAATGTAACGTACCGTACTGTATGTAGTGAATGTTGTAGAGGTCAAGAGTGAACGCGTTTCTGGAGCCGTGAATGCGTTACAGAACCTCAATGTCACCGCATTACCTTCCGAAGCACGGCGGAAAAACCTGTAAAAAAAAATCATTTTTACCATATTTTGGATAATTACCGTACTAAAAGTTGGTTTCTATTGATTATTAAGTAGTTTTCTACTCTCGTGTGGTAATATTTTTATCATTTTTGCACCTGTGTGGTCGCGAGCGGTCCCGTGTGGTCGCGAGTGGTTCCGTGTGGTATTTAGTAGGACCGGGCCTTACGGCCTCTACTACTAGGTTAGTACTACTACTATTCTAGGCCTCGCTTAATCTCGTGATGAAGCCCATCTCGAATTGAAGCCCCCCATTTTTAGTTTGCAAAAGTAGCCTCAAGAAGAAGCCCATATCGCTTCTCTTCAAGATAGCATATTCTTCTCTTTGAGATAGTACAGACAGTACCAACACTGTACATGAATTTCAGAAAACAAAATAAATTAAAAACAAGCTTGGTTTATACTGTACATTAGTTTAGGTGATTTAATGCCTTTTAAATACACTTCATGATATAGATTGATGTTACAATGGCCTTATTTATTGTTTTATAGTACAAATTCACAAAATTAACAACATTCATTTGAAAAAAGCCCCTCTCTTTTTACTTTGGAAAAGCCTCGAAAAGAAGTGCATCTTGAAAAGAAGCCCATCCAAAGTTTGCAAAAGAAAGAAGCCCAGGGCTTTAATTCGAGGTTTTACTCAGAATCTACCCCTATTATTAGCTACACCAAAAATACCAGAAATGTACACTATCCTAGGCAAGTTAAGGCAATGCAGATAGTGTTATTTCATTATCAATTGCCTCACAACACCAGAATGTATTCTTTTCACTTGCCTTTTTTAGATTATGGATGTAAACAATGATACCGTGAAGACTACCAGCGAACAGCTAGAAATTCAAGTAAACAATGATACCGTGAAGACTACCAGCGAACAGCTAGAAATTCAATATGAATTGTCATGTGTACAAGTAACATTTTTCTATTCCATTACAACATACATTGTTTAATATTAATAATAGTTGAAATCTGCATTCAACCTGGTGATAGAAAAAGCTGTCACTGATTGCTCTTACTATATCTTATCATTATTATTATAATTATATTATTACCAGTTATATTGTTCTCCTTGTTTATCAAATAACTTATGATTGTTGTTTGTTAATTTATCATAACTATACTACATCTACTTTTAATGTTTACAGTCACTCATTACACAGAATTCGAATCAACTCGGCCCCAGTAAACTCGGCCCCAGTCAACGCGGCCCCAAGTCAACTCGGCCCCATGTCAACCCGGCCCCATGTCAACTTGGCCCCAAGTCAACTCGGCCCCATGTCAACTCGGCCCCAAGTCAACTCGGCCGCATGTCAACTCGGCCCCAAGTCAACTCGGCCGCATGTCAACTCGGCCCCCAAGTCAACTTGTCCCCATGTCAACTCGGCCCCATGTCAACTCGGTCCCAAGCCAACTCGGCCCCAAGTCAACTCGATCGCAAGTAGTCAACTCGGCCCCAACTTACTGTGTATTTACTGAATATTTACCAAAAGAGATTTGAATGCAAAGCCAAAATTATAGTGTTTTATATCATTGCCTGTGTTATTTTTTTTCATTTACAACCACTTACAATAATTAAAACTGCATTGATAAAAATAATAATAATAACAATATAAAAAGGTATAATATAACTGATAATTATAATAATGATATGACAATAATGACATAATCATAATATAGACATATTAAATATACTACTATATATTATATATTATTATACATTATATATTATATTATTATATATAGACCTATAAGATGTGTATAAGAGACAGGTATATTGTATAAGTAATCTCTGCTAATTAGCATGTACAGCTACGGTGACCATTTGTTATTTTATAAAGCATAGGCCTAGCCCTTATTGTTTATGCTAATAAAGTGTTTAAAGAAGGTTTATTGCAGGGACGACCGAGATATTCGTTTAGTAATAAACGTATTAATGTCACTAATTTTAACCTTTGTTATTTTTTCTAAAATAATGTGTTGTGCTCTTATTTATCTACCATTTATATCCATTACTTAGAAGAAGACTTATTTCCAGTGGGGTCCTTCTGGTGGTGATTGGGCAGTACACCGGGAGACAATCCCCTACTCTTTTCCGAAGAGTGCACTGCGTTCTTTAACATGCACATGGGCCATAATGCACACGGGACCAAAGGCTTAAACGTCCCATCCGAAAGACGGTGCGCTAGTAACTTGTATTTCAGCCCTCTAGCTGAAACACATATGTATATATTTAAAGAAGTTAATATACATTTTAATTATACATTATATGTGTATATATATATATATATTTTTAAATACACATTATATATATGTTACGTATATGTATATATATATTATATATACATATATATATATAGGTATATTTATTATATACATACATACATATATATATATATATATATATTTAAAGAAGTTAATATACATTTTAATTATACATTATTATATATAAATGAAACCGTCTTTATATATAAAAAAAAAATAGTGAGAAACGAATATCGTGTGTATACAGACACTTTAGTAAAGAAAACCAATATTTTTAGACCCATATTTAAATATATATACATTATATAATAGTACCACCCACCCTAAGGTGTCCAGAGGTGGCACCATGATTTTCCCTACGGGGGCAGAGGTCCCCGATGGGGGGGGGGCCGATGCTCTTAACGTCGGGTCAGATTTCCACCACCATAGCAAAGTGGGCGTTGTCGAGCGTCGCTTAAAAGGCATTGAAAGCGGTCCAGGGTGCGAAGCTCCGAAAATTTTGACAATTCAGGGATTTCAAAGGCTTAGGCCTATTTAATTCGATTTTCGAATTGTGGTTTTTCTCCCCGACCGGGGGGAGGGGATGTGGGAGGGGAGTGGCCCCCGGTCTCTGGCTGGCGCCACCCCTGAAGCTGTCTCAATTATAGGGGTTACTTTTTACCTGAATGGATGTAATATAATCAATGAAGTACTGGGACTGGAAATTTATATTGCGCCTTTCCATTGTGGTTATGAAGCGCAAGTCAACCCTCAATAATTTAGAAAAACAATGGTCGACACACAGTTGATCATTATTCAGGAACCCCATGCATCACAATAGTACAGTCTTACAACAAAAACAAACCAAATAATACAGATTACTACTTTAGACAAGTATAATGGAGTGTTTTGTTTTAGTTTTAAAAAAAATCTTTCCAAATGTTCTATATGTCATTTATACGGATCAAATAAGTTATCAACTACAACGTAAAAAACAAAAACAAAAAAAAAGCATAACTTGCACACTCAGCCTATTGAAAATATAGAACAAATTTAATGGTTTGGCCAATGGCTCCAAGGAGTTCATCCGCCCCCGCACTGAACATAGTATATCTTTAGGCAACTTGATAAAATTCTTATTGATACTGTACATCACATCCAGAGCATGAAACAATATTCAGTTTACAATGATTGTAAAAGATAATATAATATACCGTACCTTGTGCAATCCGAAAATGTGACCCAAGCTCACAAACAGACTGTAAACTCGCACAGCACTGTATTGAGAAACAAGCATCAATAGCCAGAACATGCCATAAAATATGAATTTCGTGTGAATTGGGTTTTTGTGTAATAAATAAAGTATAATTATTAATCTTACTATTTTGAGTTTAAAATTCAAACTGTAAAAGCCAAAATGTTGCCATTTTAAAATGGAAGCTAGTAAAAATGAATAGGAAATTGCCAAAAATAAAAGCATTTTTCTCAAAACATGATTGAGGAAAGTTGAGAAGATGACAATTATTCAAACCGCCATAACTTTGCTT